GCCTAATTATAATTATATATATTGTTTATATATTTTATAAGTTTAAAAATCATGTGCAATTAGAAAGTCAATTAGTGGGTGAAAAAAAGAGTATCTATGGATTAACTCAAAACACAAACATGAATGAATATATGCTGGTATTTGATGAATTTGGTTCAAAAAGAGATATTAGTAATAGAAAATGTGCAAATTGCAAACGATATACGTAACACATCTCGTGCATGGTGCCAAACATGTGACCCTTGGAAGACAACACAAGGATGGACAAGTGGAAATAAGGATATCGATGCTTGCATTAAGGAATTTCAACTTAGAGCCACAAAATATGAAAATGTTATCGAATGGATTCCTTTTAATAGATTAGCTAACGTTCAAAACATTGGCGATAAAGTTTTAGCAACCTGGTTAGATTGAATACGATATGCAAATGATGGAGATGGATGGACACAGTCACGTATACCAAGATATAAAGTGGAGCTTAAAATATTAACTCGAACACCAAATTTAATAGATATATTAAACGAAGTAAGATAAATAAAATATTTAATAAATTCATGACATGATATTGTGCAAGATATATATAGATTTATGTTAATTTTTAAATATCAATAAGTTTATAGATTATGCACAGTTAAACCAGTTAAAGAATAATGAGCTTGAAGTATATGGACTAACTCAAAGTACCACAACAAATGAATATATGCTGGTATTTGATGAATTTGGTTCTAAAAGATATATTAGGAATGGAACCAGGGACGATGATTTTCTGTATTTCACATAATACCACAGAATTCACATAATTAGGGATAATTAGGGTCAAATCACATAATTACGGTTATATCACCACAGAACCTCACATAATTTAAGAATTTTTAAAAATCTGCACATAATTCGCAATTTTATCTGCAGTGTTACCAATGTATAACTAAAATAAGAAAAATTAGATAATACCGATACTCTGTCATAATATGTATCGCCATTTAATTTAAGTACTAACCCAAAAAGTAAGGTAATATAATTCATAGTCACTAAACACAAAGAATATAATATCATCAAAACGGGTGTAATTATACTGATGGCTGTGTAAAAAAATGTAAAAATTTCATATTATCTTTTAAATTCACGCGAAAAAAAAAGTGCAAGAAAAATTAAAATAATATTTCTTATTGTTAATGCACAAGCCTCAATTCTTAAAAATTTTTTTTTTAATTCCGAAGAATAAAATAGATGAGATGGAAATTCTTGAAAGATTTTGTAAAAATATAAAAACGAATTAATAAAAATATTTTTACTAACATAAAACATATTGATTTAACAATAATGCCTAAAAAACAAAATGTTACAATACTGACCCGACTTCAAGAACATCCAAATACTTTTCGTGTTGATAGTAATGTTTTGATATGTGAATACTGCAATGAACCTGTGGAATGGAAATCGAAATCGACGGTCGATAATCACTGCAATAGCAAAAAGCATAAAACAAATAAAAATAATTTCGAGTCTCAAGAACATGCCAAGAAGCAAGCATCTATTCGGGCTAGTTTCAGTGCAGTGGATATAAAAAATGAAACCATAGAAGATTTAATTGAATCATTCGCTATTGCTAATATTCCACTTGAAAAAGTGGATCGTCTAATTCCGTTCTTTAGAAAACATCTTAAATATGGTGGAACGATTCCACAATCCTCAACTTTAAGACAAATTTATTTGCCACGTATCTTTGAAAAACACCATAATAATCTTAAATTATTTTTTAATAATAAACCAGTTGCAATTATAATGGACGAGACAACTGATAGTTGTGCTCGTAGTGTGGTCAATACTCTTTTTGTATTTCGGGATTCTACTAAACTTGTTTCTGTTAATTTTCTCGAATCTGTTAATAACACAATGATAGGTCAAACTTTAATATCAATTCTTACAGAATATAACATTTCTTTTGATATTACATGTCTTTTTTCATCCGATTCAGCTATGTATATGAAAAAATGTTATAAAGAAATACTAGCACCATTAATGCCGCAGCTTATTCATTCACCATGCTGTGCCCATATTCTTAACTTAGTCGGGTAAATATATTGATATTATATAGTTAATTTATACTGTTAAACGAATGAAGGCAAATTGGTCTTCAACCAGCATCACATAATTCTGATATGAAGCTAATTTGAAAGATATTTTGCACAAATAGATCTTTAGGATACAAATCGGGTCCATATAGGCATTTAATACATATCGATAAATCGATAAAGCTTGCCTTATAACTTTATTGATTTATCAATAGCTATTGGCATTCTGATATATATTTAAATATCTATATGAACCTGATTTATATTTTAAAGGTCTCTTATTGCTGCCAAATCTCTGTTTCAAATTAGCTTCATATCAGGATTATGTAATGCCGATTGGAGCCAATTTGCCTTTTATTCGATTATGCTAATTGCATATACTCTCTAATGCTATAAAGAAGGGTTTATACAATTAAGCTATTCCGACTAATACTATATAGTATAATATTTATATATATATTAAATTTAAATTATTTGTAGTGATACGTGGAGAATCTTTAAAGATTTTTCTCCTTTAACAATTTTTTTGGCAAAAATAAAGGACGTATTTGTTAAATCACCAGCACGAAGAGGTCGATATTTAAATCATTTAAAAATGCATGGTATTAGTAATCCATGTAAAATTCCACTTCCGAATACAACAAGATGGAATTCATGGTTTCGGATGGTTTTTTATTCGAAAACTTATATCGAATATTGGGCTACATTTTTTTCTCATGAATTAATATTGGACAAAAATCACGAAACTTTATTAGAGATTAATTCATATTTTCAAAATCCAACAAATTTTGGCATAATTAAAATTTACATAAATTTTATTTCTATTTTTGCTCAAGAATTTGTTCAAGACTTGGATTTTTTTCAACAGCAAACCCGACCTATATTTCCTCTTGTAGAAAATCGGTTAGAGCAACTTACCGCATATCTTGAAACCAATCGTTACGCACAATACTTTGGTCCGGAGTTAGAAAATCTTATTGGTGATCTTCAATTTAATCCATTAAATTTTTATGCTATCTTTCGCAATGCATTTCAAGCTGCATACGATAAATTCTCAGCTCATATTCCGTATCATCCGGCTCGCAAGTTATTTCAAGCATGCCGCGTATTTGATCCTGCTTTCTTTTTTACCAATGATATTTCAAAAAAAGATATTCGTCGCTATGGTGCTATTAGAGAATTTAAAAATCCGTCAGATGCTATTATCCGTGAATGGTCAATATATTGTAGTCTGCAGTTTCAGGAAATGGAATTAGATATGTTTTGGTTAGATTTACATTCACGGCTTCCAATTTTATCAGATATTGCACTTAATTATATCTGGTTACCTGTTTCAAGTTGCAGTGTTGAACGCAGCTTTTCATTATACAATTCACTTTTAGATGAAAATAGACAAAATTTGTCTAAAGAGTCAT